TGGTGTGTAGAATTTTTTGACATAGGGTGCTGGCAGATTATGGGCCTCCCATAGCTGCTGCCTGCTAGCCCCTGCCAGGCCCCTAATCTGCCATAGGCCCCTATATACCGCCTCCCATCATGCTGCTGCCAGGTCCAGAGTCTGTCATGGGTCCCTGTACGGCCTCCCATTGCTGCTGTCTCCATCGCCACACTCTGCCATGTGCCACTTTCAGGTCTCCTCACACACTGCTGGTGTGTAGAATTTTTTGACATAGGGTGCTGGCAGATTACGGGCCTCCCATAGCTGCTGCCAGGCCCCTAATCTGCCATAGGCCCCTATATATATACCGCCTCCTCATGCTGCTGCCAGGTCCCAGAGTCTGTCATGGGTCCCTGTACGGCCTCCCATTGCTGCTGTCTCCATCGCCACACTCTGCCATGTGCCACTTTCAGGTCCTCCTCACACACTGCTGGTGTGTAGAATTTTTTGACATAGGGTGCTGGCAGATTATGGGCCTCCCATAGCTGCTGCCAGGGCCCCTAATCTGCCATAGGCCCCTATATACCTTCCTCTCCTCATGCTGCTGTCTGCCAGGTCCAGAGTCCTCTGCCATGTGCCACTTTCAGGTCTCCTCGCCACACTCTGCCATGTGCCTGTCTCCTCACACTGCTGGTGTGTTGAATTTTTTGACATAGGGTGCTGGCAGATTACGGGCCTCCCATAGCTGCTGCCAGGGCCCCTAATCTGCCATAGGCCCCTATATACCGCCTCCTCATGCTGCTGCCAGGTCCAGAGTCTGTCATGGGTCCCTGTACGGCCTCCCATTGCTGCTGTCTCCATCGCCACACACTCTGCCATGTGCCACTTTCAGGTCCTCACACACTGCTGGTGTGTAGAATTTTTTGACATAGGGTGCTGGCAGATTATGGGCCTCCCATAGCTGCTGCCAGGCCCCTAATCTGCCATGGGCCCCTATATACCGCCTCCTCATGCTGCTGCTGCCAGGTCCAGAGTCTGTCATGGGTCCCTGTACGGCCTCCCATTGCTGCTGTCTCCATCGCCCACACTCTGCCATGTGCCACTTTCAGGTCTCCTCACACTGCTGCTGGTGTGTAGAATTTTTTGACATAGGGTGCTGGCAGATTACGGGCCTCCCATAGCTGCTGCCAGGCCCCTAATCTGCCATAGGCCCCTATATACCGCCTCCTCATGCTGCTGCCAGGTCCAGAGTCTGTCATGGGTCCCTGTACGGCCTCCCATTGCTGCTGTCTCCATCGCCACACTCTGCCATGTGCCACTTTCAGGTCTCCTCACACACTGCTGGTGTGTGTGAATTTTTTGACATAGGGTGCTGGCAGATTACGGGCCTCCTATAGCTGCTGCCAGGCCCCTAATCTGCCATAGGCCCCTATATACCGCCTCCTCATGCTGCTGCCAGGTCCAGAGTCTGTCATGGGTCCCTGTACGGCCTCCCATTGCTGCTGTCTCCATCGCCACACTCTGCCATGTGCCACTTTCAGGTCTCCTCACACACTGCTGGTGTGTTAGAATTTTTTGACATAGGGTGCTGGCAGATTACGGGCCTCCCATAGCTGCTGCCAGGCCCCTAATCTGCCATAGGCCCCTATATACCGCCTCCTCATGCTGCTGCCAGGTCCAGAGTCTGTCATGGGTCCCTGTACGGCCTCCCATTGCTGCTGTCTCCATCGCCACACTCTGCCATGTGCCACTTTCAGGTCTCCTCACACACTGCTGGTGTGTTAGAATTTTTTGACATAGGGTGCTGGCAGATTATGGGCCTCCCATAGCTGCTGCCAGGCCCCTAATCTGCCATGGGCCCCTATATACCGCCTCCTCATGCTGCTGCCAAGTCCAGAGTCTCTCATGGGTCCCTGTACGGCCTCCCATTGCTGCTGTCTCCATCGCCACACTCTGCCATGTGCCACTTTCAGGTCTCCTCACACACTGCTGGTGTGTAGAATTTTTTGACATAGGGTGCTGGCAGATTACGGGCCTCCCATAGCTGCTGCCAGGCCCCTAATCTGCCATAGGCCCCTATATACCGCTCCTCATGCTGCTGCCAGTCCAGAGTCTGTCATGGGTCCCTGTACGCCTCCCATTGCTGCTGTCTCCATCGCCACACACTCTGCCATGTGCCACTTTCAGGTCTCCTCACACACTGCTGGTGTGTTGAATTTTTTGACATAGGGTGCTGGCAGATTACGGGCCTCCTATAGCTGCTGCCAGGCCCCTAATCTGCCATAGGCCCCTATATACCGCCTCCTCATGCTGCTGCCAGGTCCAGAGTCTGTCATGGGTCCCTGTACGGCCTCCCATTGCTGCTGTCTCCATCGCCACACTCTGCCATGTGCCACTTTCAGGTCTCCTCACACACTGCTGGTGTGTTAGAATTTTTTGACATAGGGTGCTGGCAGATTACGGGCCTCCCATAGCTGCTGCCAGGCCCCTAATCTGCCATAGGCCCCTATATACCGCCTCCTCATGCTGCTGCCAAGGTCCAGAGTCTGTCATGGGTCCCTGTACGGCCTCCCATTGCTGCTGTCTCCATCGCCACACTCTGCCATGTGCCACTTTCAGGTCTCCTCACACTACTGCTGGTGTGTAGAATTTTTTGACATAGGGTGCTGGCAGATTACGGGCCTCCCATAGCTGCTGCCAGGCCCCTAATCTGCCATAGGCCCCTATATACCGCCTCCTCTCATGCTGCTGCTGCCAGGTCCAGAGTCTGTCATGGGTCCCTGTACGGCCTCCCATTGCTGCTGTCTCCATCGCCACACTCTGCCATGTGCCACTTTCAGGTCTCCTCACACACTGCTGGTGTGTTGAATTTTTTGACATAGGGTGCTGGCAGATTACGGGCCTCCCATAGCTGCTGCCAGGCCCCTAATCTGCCATAGGCCCCTATATATACCCGCCGCCTCCTCATGCTGCTGCCAGGTCCAGAGTCTGTCATGGGTCCCTGTACGGCCTCCCATTGCTGCAGTGTCTCCATCGCCACACATGCCATGTGCCACTTTCAGGTCTCCTCACACTGCTGGTGTGTAGAATTTTTTGACATAGGGTGCTGGCAGATTACGGGCCTCCTATAGCTGCTGCCAGGCCCCTAATCTGCCATAGGCCCCTATATACGCCCCGCCTCCTCATGCTGCTGCTGCCAGGTCCAGAGTCTGTCATGGGTCCCTGTACGGCCTCCCATTGCTGCTGTCTCCATCGCCACACTCTGCCATGTGCCACTTTCAGGTCTCCTCACACACTGCTGGTGTGTAGAATTTTTTGACATAGGGGTGCTGGCAGATTACGGGCCTCCCATAGCTGCTGCCAGGCCCCTAATCTGCCATGGGCCCCTATACCGACTCCTCATGCTGTGACGTTGCAACAAGGTGGAATTCAACCCTACATATGTTAGACCGCCTTTACGAACAGCAAAAGGCCATCACAGATTTCCTGATGTTAAAAGCGGATAAAGGTATTCCCTGTGTAACTTAGATGTCAGCCATTGGCAGCTCATGCGTGACACCTGCGCTTGCTCAGGCCCTTTGAGGAGGCCACGCTATTCGTGAGTCGGCAGGACTATGGGATGAACGACGTCATTCCTCTGTTGCACGTCCTGGAACAAATGCTGTTAACAATGGCTGGTCAGGGTGCGGTAGACGTGGCGCACAGATCTCAACGCCACATGACCCCTGTGGGGGCAGGACAGGAAGAAGAGGAGGAGGTAGAGGAGGACATTGGTGCTCAGGAATTATTGAGTGAAATGGGTGGTTTTTCCACTCAGCGGACAGGAGTGGAGGAGCAGGAGCATCTGGTAGAGGAGGAGGAGGAGAGGAGACAGAGGACCCAGACGCACCGTGGCAGTATGCTGTGGAGATGGAGGCAGGGAGTCCCCTCGCATTCCTTGGCACAAATGGCCCATAGCATGCTCGCTTGCTTGCGTAGCGACAGCCGAATAATAACCATCAGACAGAGGGATGACTTTTGGCTGTCCACCTTGTTGACCCTCGCTACCGTTCAAAAATGGTGGCCTTTTTCACACCTGCTGAGAGGGAGGCCAAAATAACGTACTATAAAAACCACCTATGTAGTCAGCTGGTCTCTGCCTGTCTGCGCCAACGTCCATCCTCAGACACTGTGGGCCCTGTGCGCTCGCGTTCCGCTGCCGATGGCAGCAGGGGAGGGGTGGGGTGGTAGGAGCAGTGGCAGCTCCACCAGCAGCGGCTGCCTCAGTCTGCAGTCGATGATGAGTAGCTTTCTTCACCAGCGCAGTGAGGAAACTACTAACCAGCCGCAGCAGCAGCAGCAGCAGCATCAGGTGGACCCTGTAGCAGGACCTCAAACAACAGGCTTGGGCCTACTTGGACAGCACCCTGCCCAAACCGAGGTAGACAATCCCCTTGACTACTGGGCAACGAAACTTGACATTAGGTTGGCCCAAACTACGAATTTGCCCTTGAAAGGCTGTCATGCCCGGCCAGTAGCGATGGGCCCCATCGGAGCGCGTGTTTAGTGCGGCAGGAGGTATTGCAACTCCAGCGGACAGACACCTGTGGGTCCCAAAGTGTGGAGAGACTGACGTTTGTGAAAAATGAATCAGGCTGGATTAGTCACCCTGGATTTCAAAACACCAGTTCCTGACACAACTGACTAAATCCGCCATGAAACATGCCCCAAACATGTGCCACTTTCAGGTCTCCTCACACTGCTGGTGTGTTTCCATTTTTTTTCATAGGGTGCTGGCAGATTACGGGCCTCCCATAGCTGCTGCCAGGCCCCTAATCTGCCATGGGCCCCTATAACCCGCCTCCTCATGCTGCTGCCAAGTCCAAGTCTCTCATGGTCCCCTGTACGGCCCTCCCATTGCTGCTGTCTCCATCGCCACACTCTGGCCATGTGACAACTTTCAGGTCTCCTCACACTGCTGGTGTATTCCATTTTTTGTCATAGGGTGCTGGCAGATTACGGGCTTTCCCATAGCTGCTCTGCCAGGCCCCTAATCTGCCATGGGCCCCTATACCGCCTCCTCATGCTGCTGCCAGGTCCAGACTGTGTCATGGGTCCCTGTACGGCCTCCCATTGCTGCTGTCCCGTCCATCGCCACACTCTGCCATGGTGCCCTTTCAGGTCTCCTCATACTGCTGTGGGTTCCATTTTTGTCATAGGGTGCTGGCAGATTACGGGCCTCCCCATAGCTTGCTGCCAGGCCCCTAATCTGCCCATGGGCCCCCGTACCGGGACCCTCATGCTGCTGCCAGGCCCCGTAATCTGTCATGGGCCCCTGTTGTCGCTTGTTGGCATATTCCGCTCGTTCAGATGCTCCTTCTCCTGCTACACTCCTCTTCAACGGATTCCGTCAGCAGTCTTTTCTTTGGGAATCCGTTTCAAAGAGACAACAGTTTTGCGAGCACGCAAGCACCAGACGGTGCAGAAACTGACGTCCTCCTGTCCAAGTTGCTGCTGCCAGGCTTGTAATCTGTCATGGCGCCCCCTGTAACCGCCTCCTCATGCTGCTGCCTCGCCAGGTCCAGAGTGTGTCATGGGCCCCCCCGTACCGATTCTTCCAAAAATGCTGCTGCCAGGCCCGTAATCTGTCATGGGCCCCTGTAAACCCCGCCCCCCCATGCTGCTACGCCAGGTACACCAGATTATGTCATGGGTCCCTGTACGGCCGCCCATTGCTGCTGCCAGGCCTGTAATCTGCCCATGGCCCCCCCTACCGACTCCTCATGCTGCTGCCAGGCCCGTAATCTGCCATGGGCCCCTGTACCCAGCCTCCTCATGCTGCTGCAGCCAGGTCCAGAGTGTGTCATGGGTCCCTGTACGGGCCTCCCATTGCTGCTGTCACTCTTCGCCACAACTCTGCCAATGTGCCACTTTCAGGTCTCCTCAAACTGCTGCTGGTGGTTTCCCATTTTTGTCATAGGGTGCTGCATGGCCTCCCCATTGCTGCTGCCTCCAACCGCCACACTGTGTGCTCCACACACTCTGGTTTTGGCCCCGTGACTGGCCAAATGAGTGAAGTGTGCGGTGATTCTAAGATCGACGGCACTCATCTGCATGTCATACTGCCTGACAGTATTATTTCCTTCCCCAGCAGACTCCAAGGGCATTTAAAATATTTAAAGGTACAGTGTTCAGCACTAATATTAAGTCTCTCTGAAGGCCTAGAAACACCCTTTTTTAAGTTAAATTCACAGCGAATATATTCGACTCGAATCGAATTTTTTCTACGAATTCGCCGAATCAGTCGAATCGAATTTTTGAATACTTGAAGCTCATCTCTAGTTATAAATGTCCTTGTAAGTTTCAATGGTTTATCTAAGTTTAATACCTTATAAAAATTTGGAATTGTTACCTTGGTTATTTACAACAAAGTTTTCATATTAGTTTTCAACGAATTACATTTTGAAATAATATAACTGCAAATAAGACAGTGGAACCTCAACTTAACTAGTTTAACTTTTCGTTCCGTGGCCCGAGCTCGTAAGTTAATATGCACGCGACTCGTTAAATCAATTTTCCCCATAAGAAATAATGGAAACGGCCGTAATCCCGTTCCAACCCCTCAAAATGGCACCTCATATTTTTCATTTTTCTTGGTTATTTCATAAGGAAAAAAGCTTTTTTACATAACTAATATTATATAAAAACAAAATACTGTAGAAAGAAAATATGAAGATATAATAAGGTTGTATACAATTTACTTACCTTGGAGGATGATTTTTGTTTTAGCTTAATTCTCATCACTCTCTTCACTTTCACTAGTTCTTGGCCTTTTGCCACACTTTGCCTCACTTCGAGCTGAAAGGCCTTTTCTTAAGAAACATGTCTAAGGAAGTCTGTTTCATTCTCCCTTTGAGAATGTTTTCTGAAACGACGTAGACACGTGTCATTGAAAAGCTCTGTCGCACGACTCGTTGCAATTTTTTCAGGATGGTTCTTTTCAACAAATCCTGCCACCCTCTCCCACATTGCCAAAATATCCCTTGAGGTCTTTTGTACTTGATTGTCTCTCGGCTATGTCTCCTCTCCCTCCGAAGTAGCTTCAGTTAATGCTTCTGTGTGCCGTTGCTCTTGTAACTCCTTTTAACTCGGGTCATGTCGTAAGTTTCCTCGGAATGCTCCAAACGAGTTCCTACGATGTCTCTTTCATCCACCTCCAGACCTATAGTCTTGCAA